ATTCCAAGAATTTTTTGCGATTATTGATAACTGACCCATTGGAGGTAATTTAATGGTATTCTTATAATATTCCTTTTGTAATGCCATTCTATACGCGATAAAAGCGTTTGGAAGCGTTTTAACCTTACTGTTGTTAGATGCGTTGGATTTAATAGCATTCTTAATGAGTTCGTCTGTTGTCAAATTAGGAGGGAAATTCGGCTTGAGTTCGACAAGAACAATATTGGAATTGATAATATTGGTTTCTATATTCAACATGGAATCGTTATTTAAACCAATAATAAACGGTTTAGAACGTTTATTTTTTGTTTGCTTTAAATTTTTAGGCATTATTTTTGGTTTAATAAACAAAGGATAATTTAATGTATAATTTGATTTATTATTAGGTAGGTTTATTAATTTAAAAAATTCTCATTCTTATGTTTTTAAAATCTTTGTTTATATATAAAAAAGAAAAGAAAAAACGCCGTTTCCTTATCAGATTTTTTTTTACACATCACCCCAAACGTGAATTTCCAAGATGATCAATTTTTTTTTGATAAATTCATGTTTTAGAAGTAAACTGTTTCATGTAGTCGAAATCCTTATGATGATGCAATTCCGCATTACCAATGAAATGATCTTATTTCTTTTAATTTACAGGCCAATAATTCTCTTTTCAAGAGAATTTTTAATCGTTAAACCGGTGATGCATTATTAACAGACCTTCATTTTATTTACGATCGTTAAAACAAAATACTAATTTTTCTGAAGAATATGTGGCGAACAATGTCATATGATGATGAAGAGACGTTAGAACTCTCTTAATATCTTCTCCAACAGAAAGTAAATCATAGTAAAAATTATGGGCCATTCATGAACGTGGTTTTCGTTGATGTGGTGGTTTCAAAATTTAATCCAGTTAAAAAATACCAAGGAGTACAATGCGTTGGCTTAAAGAACAAACAAGATGGATTATGATAAAAATTTTATGTAAACATTCGGAATGCAATATATAGTTTAAATAATGTTTACGAAAAGAAATTAATCTGTGTAGGAAAAAAAGGAAGCCGCCGAATATAATCTGCAAAAAATTCTACGATTTCGATCAAACTTGCAGCATTCGTTAATCAAATAAGCTTTCTGTAATAAAACAAATCAACTTTGTTTATAATTTAACCAATTTTCATTTAATATTTTATGATCAACGTAAACTGCATCAACTATGTCACGCGTCTGTAACAAGATTTTTTTTTGCCTTCATATATACGAGTTTATATCAAATTTATGTTAAGTTTGTTTAGATTAGAAAGCATTTTTTATTGAGATCGTAATGGCGTTGGTGGAAAGTTTTTAACGGAGATTTCTTCATTTATTTATTTGACAAAGGAAGAATTTTTGTTTTAAATATTATTACTGTTTAGAGCCTACCTATTTACATATATCTTATTGAAAGGGAACATTCTTTTAAGAAAGAATTCTAAAATTTGAAATATGTTGATATATAAATCATTAAAGAATTTTTATTAATTTTAATTAAATAAGACTTTTAAAAAGAAAAAGTTAATGCAAATTGTTAATTTAGCATTAAAATTTTTAAGCGGTAATTCAAATTCACAGATCTTTTCCACATGATAATATGGGACCGTTGCTATGCAAACGTTCCTTCATGGGTCCGCTAGTATAAGAAATGCGGCAAGACATTTAATGCGTCCGAACAGATATAATATAAAATTGGTAAATTACATAATTTGCACTTTTTATAACAATTCAAAGGTTTTTGTAAAATAATTGATATGTATATAATTTGGCAGTCAATATGTAGTAATTATTTATTAGTATTGTTACACGAATCAATAACAAAAGTTTATATACCTTAATTGAAGGGAACTTTTAATATAAATACATCTAAATACTCATTAATAGTAAAATGAAATCCACCCATAGATTTCTAAATTTGAAAACACCAAAAAGCAAAACAATTGGTTCAGAAATTATCATAAGGTGAGAAAACAAGAAGCCAATAATACTTTAAATAAAAAATGATTTATTGTGAGATTATTTAAAGGGAACTTTCCATATCAAAAAAAAACATTTTTTTTTTAAAAAAAGAATTATTCGATATGGGAGGTTTGCTATTAAAATCACGTTACGGATCATATGATTTACAATGTTCGTAATAGAAAATCTCCCACATTGACTACGAAAATTTTGTTCATCAGTGCATTCTATGTGTAGAAAGTATAATTATGCCAAATGTCTTATTATGGTATCGAATTTAGGTTGATTGTAATGTAAAACTTTTATTTTAATTGAAATACATTTTCTTACAATGTCTGACGGTATCAAAAAAGTAAAAGTGTAATAAAAATATGTTTCACCCAAGTAAAATTAGAAATAAGAAAGAAATAACTAGAATTGGCAGATTAACATTCTTAAAACAAGTTATTTGACATTTGGACTTTCTAAATTTTTTTTTTAAATGGCATAACTCACATTTGAATGCTAAGAAAATCATCATTAGAAGATTGCTGTAATATTATGTAATAACCACATTTAAATAATTTTGTTCTCCGAAATTTGAATCATAAAATATGCAACGAGTGATTGGAGCAAGTAGATAATTACTATATTTATAAAATGCTACCTACCTTAAGATGCAAAATATTTTTTTTAAAAAAAAATTATTACTGATACGACTAACGCCACCCGTGTGACCTCGCGTGTCACTAACTGAACAGATGTCATAATTGGAGAAGCCGAAAACCCTCACCGAGTAAATTATCCAACTTTACAAGTTTACAAGGAAAGAGTACCACAACTACTGGAAAGAGAGTCAAGACTACCTAGGTAGCTAACCTACCACAATAGTTGACTCGCAGGTGTCCAACCCTAGTTGTGACCCTAGGTACTACAATAGCTGAACGTAAAAAAAAAAAAAATTATTCTTAGTGTAGTTTGTATAATGTTTCATTGATTCAATCCATCTACAAAATAAAGGAAAAAAATAAAAGGGGGAAATCTAAATTTGTTCAAAGATTTTTATGATATCATACTTGTTACACGCAATTTTGAAACTTATAGCCATTGCCTAATTCGATTTGCTTACTAGAATAATCATTTTTTATTTCTAATAGATGATACGGAATACGGCATGTATTGTAGCAATCAATAATTCCGTAAATGGCAATTTTTTAATAGATACTTCCATAAATAAAAATTTTATAAAATTATTAATGATTTCAAAAAATTAATGTTTTGATGTATAAACAATTGACTTCAAACAATTTTATGCTTTCTTTCTTGTTAGTACAGTGCTTGTACACTCCCCGGTCAAAAGTATTGGACCACGTGATTTTCGTTATACTAATTGGCGTAATTTTTGCCGATTATAA